AGGGGAAAAATAAAAAGGCTTAAGTGTGACCTAAATCTATCCTGCCTTTGATGAATGAGGAAAATAAAACGAATTTTGATGTCAGTACAGAGAAGGATATTCCCAACTTCATGCTAGGAGGAAATGAGTTAAGAAAAGCCCAACTGTGAAGTAGGAACTCTTTGTTTTTTCCTGAAGATAAAAGACTTTGAAAAAAAAATCCACAGAATGTTCTATAAATGGGGGACATTCTGTAGGTGCTTCTTAATTTACATGACTTTGAACAGAAATTTCACACTGCATTACAAATAAGAACACTTAATTCACCACGACACAGATTTTTATCCCGATTATTGTTCCACTAATTCTTAATAGAAGAATAGTGTTGAAGACATTTTATATATTTAGAAACTAAACCAAACTTTGGAGTTAACAGAAGAAACTGATGTTACAAACCCAGAGTAAAATGCAAGGTCAGCAAAGAAACCTGATGGAAACTATTCTTGAGAACTTAAGACAACATGTTACATTTCATCAAAAAGCAAATGAAGTTAGCAGAGCCTGTTTCAGGCTCCGTGTTTGACATCAACCAGCTAAACTGGCCTTTTTTGGGAAGATACACCTACATTCCAAGCACCTTGCAGTGCCCTAAGGAGATCTCTAGCCAGGCAAGCTGTGTGCTGCAGCCAGCTAATGCTTCACTGCTCCAGGAAGTCAGTGAAGTAATTATGTAATATGCCACTAACTAATGTAAGCTGTCCTGAAACCAAAAAGGGGTGGTTTTCTACAAATCTGGATCCAATTTTTTTTCATTAAACAAATGTCAGTCTTCTGGACTGTCCAGAGAACTCAGTATAACCATGTTGAGTGCTCCAAGTCCTGTAACACGCCTGGGGGAATTTCTCTGCATTTTATTGCATTTCTTTCTACCTTTCCCAGCACAGCAGTTGAAGGCTTGAGAATGCAGTAATAACACAAAGCATTTGAAGGAAGGAAGACAGAAATCTGCCTTCCAACACACAGCCATCTGTAGGCTCCCCCAGATAAACAAGAAAAGGAAACAAATCTTCTACTTGGAGACAACACCTTCTCATACATTTTCTGCTGGAAAGCAGGAGCCAGGACTTGCCAGGCTGCCCTTGCCCCAGTCAAAGAGCTGGATTCCCTGGGATTTGTTTCAGCTTGGAGCCCTCCTGCCATTACCTCACACACAAGGCTCTCAGAGCAAGAATATTCAGCTGAAGTGAATTGAGTTTCCATTGCAAAACAAGATGCAGATGTTCTACCTCTGAATACGTGCCTGGATCAAGTGCTTGTCATTTGATAGGAAGCACTGGGAATGCCAGACTGGTAGGGAATGGTTCTGCTCCATGGCCTTTGCACCTCAGTGAGGACAACTCTCCCAAGGACTTTCTGATGTCTCTGAGCTCATTAAGAAGAAAACAGTTCTATGAAAGCCCTACTCATTAAACTGGCCATTGTTGGTAACTGGCAGTGAAGGTTTAGTAGGAGGGTATCAGATGTACTCACACTAAATCTCAGCACCCAGATGCTGAGTCAACCATCCTCTAATTTATTATTTTCTTTCTTATCTCAACAAGTATATTACAATAAATTCATCATTGCTAATGTAACTGCCACTCTCCCACTGACAAAGACCAAATGTCCTCATTTGTATGATGTAAACATTTTCTTACACTTTTTTATGCATCTTGTTAAAAAAAAAAACTCACCATGTTGTTAAAATTAAGATTTTTCTCCAAAAGCATCAGAGTTGAGATTATCATAGGGCATCTCAAGGAGGTCAGAGCTAGTAATAATATTAAGGAAACACTCAAAAGGACACAAATTATCAGTATAAAACAAGCAACCTGAGGAAAGCAAATGGCTTTATTCTCTGGGTCAAAGTTATGAAGCCCTTTACAAAAACCCTGTCACCTCACCTCTGGCTATAATCCTCTTGCTGGCTCTGGCTGCCCTAATTACATGAGTATGAAGAACTTTCCATCACATTACAGAATCACAGAGCGTTGAGGCTGAAGGCATCTCTGCAGATCCTCTAATCCAAATCTCCTGCTCCAGAACTGGCTCAGCTAGGGCAGGTTGCTCAGAGTCACAACCCCTCAGGTTTTCAGTATCTCCAAAGGAGATTCCACCAGGTCTTTGGGCAACCTGTTCCAGCATAGGACCAGATTCACAGTAAATAAATAATTTTTTTTTTACAAAAATTAAATGTTCTATTGTTTGAGAACAGTCAACTCCAGTTAGATTTCCATATTAAAAAGCAGTCAGCTAAACCTGCAACACACCCTTATTTCTTAATGCTTAGTGGAAGAACTTCTAGATTTCCCATTTCAGCCACAGCCCCAACAAAAGGACACTTTTCTGCCCATAAAGCAGATCCCATCCATATTAGTCACCATCCTACTTTCTTCCCCTCCACTGAGTAGGCCAAAATCAGAAACATGGTGTATGAACTAAGCAGCACTCTGTCAATAAATGTTCCCATACTCACTAGAGCATGACCATGGATGACACAACTTAGGAACAAAATGAGATTAAGCCATAGTTGAGGCTAACCAAGTGCTGGCATTAACTCAGCAGCCTGGAGCTTGCAGATAACAAATTGTTATCTCTAAGTCTTGCTGGGCAAGAAAAAGCAGGACTCTTCCTGGGATGCAAATTTATCCTTCTAATCCATGTTGAATTAAAGGACTGCCAAATGCACATGATGGAAGAATCTTCCCTGTTCCTTATGCATCAATACATCTCTCATCCATGAGCTACAGATCAATGGCACATAGTTCCAGTGGCTTGTGCCAGAGGTGAAAGATTAAAGCCACTAGTTTTAAGCCCCATAAAATGATAATGACACATTTCACCAGCATACCAATAATCTCAATAAGCAAGAGCAAGTGTTTCAAGAGAGAATCCAAAGGAATAAGAAACTAATCTCATGTATTTCCTGTGGCATAGACATCCATTATTCTTTCCTCTGAAATTCCAGACCTATTTTCACATCATACAATGTATTTGCATCTTATCCTACATCTGCAGAAGTACTTTTCAGAAAGACATCTCTTTAGAAGTAGTTCAAGTATGACCCTCAATAAATCCTAATTAATTGGCTTTGAAAGGGCACTTTGTTGTCAATACAGTTACTACAGCAGCAGTGTCTTTGAAAAGACAAGATCCATCACTGCTGACACAAATCACTTATAAAATAAATACTATGGCAGAGGCATGGAAGATCTGTAGGCATCTTTAAAACACCCTTCAAGTCCAGTGCAGATGTTGCCAGTGTTTATACTTTTTAAAACACTGGGATATAAACACCTCACTATAAACACCACACTGAAGTTTTGCTTCTCTTTTCTTCATTTTGTGTGTGTTTATTTTAGTGTTAAAAATGTTAACTTCCATAATAAGGAAAATAGCAACAGCTGTTCAAACTAAACAAAGACTGCTATAGTAGAGTGTATTCCCTTCAGCTGTTCTTTTGAACTCTTAAAGCTAAGATCTGGTTAAAAAACAATTATTGGAGAAGAGGATGGGGAAAAAAGGGGCTGGAAAGAACCTTCTGTAACTATTATGCATAATGATAATGAATTGAACTAATGAGTTTTTCTGCCTTCGTCAACAAAATTCTCAGGAACGTGTACCACTAAAGTAGAATTTTATGCAGAACTTCATGGTCTTCATCAGAAGTTGCTAATTGCTTCCAAAGAAAGCACTGGTTAAACAAAGAACAATGGAAAAGTTAAGGAAAAGAAACTCCCAAGTTGCTTTTTATTTTTTTTTCTTTTAAATAGTTTTCTTGCTGTAATGAAGAAAGCACATGATAAGAAAGAGCTTGAAAATTCAACTCTGTTGAATCCCAGCTCTTTATTATTCAGTACTGATGGGCAAGCTCTGTAAAAGAGCTTTATTCAAGCAAATATACACGTATTTGTGTAGGAAAGAAAAACAGAACAAAAATTAAACAGAGACATTAACAGTTCTACAGGGAGCCCCTCCACTTCCTGAAGGAAAGAAATGTGGCCATGCTGGTTTAACGACAGAAAAGATGGTGTTTTAAAATGTGAAATTCAGCTCTCTGCCTTCTGGCCTGCTCTTTTTCTGGAGAGGGTGGATGCAGAACCCCCGACCATCTGCACACTCCAGATTGTTCCTTCCCTGACAACTTCAGCAAGTTTTATTTTTGTGAATGAACATGGAAACTGTTCCAAAAAAAACAGAAGAAAGATTTCTGCAATGCCTGTGTGTGGCTACAGCAAAAACAGCTCCACTGCCAAGCTGAATTAGCTCAGTGGTGCCTTTCTTTCCAGGCAAAGCCAAGCCATAACCACTTCTTCAAACTGCACGTAGATAAAACTCCACTCAGTTAAGAAACTGATTTTACCCCGTTACCTCAGGCAGCTTCCAAATGGGACCATTAACTCTCACAACATGAAGAGCTCTAACACCAGCCTGCGTGAGCTGAAGGAAAATTCTGAGTCCAGCAAAGAGAGGGGGAAAAAAAAGCAACACCAAAACCCAAGGTTTTCCAAGGGGTTGTGTAATTCTCTCCCCAGGGACCCAGGCAGCCGAGGCCCCACAGGCTGGACCGTGGGTCCGTGGGTGCCAAACACCCCAACCCCATCACCCAAAAGCTGCTGGGCTGGGTCACAGCTGGAGATGGACCTTCACTCACACCCCCAGCTGGCAACCAAGTCCTTTCAGCTACAGAAATCTGCGACAAAAAACTCTGCCTGCCACAAAAGCAACACAGTCCTTGGAACTAACCTCGCTGCTGTTACGCTGCGGGGAAGATGAAATTAACACTCAAAATGCCCTTTGGAAAACAAACAAACAACAAAACAAACCCCCGAACAGAAAAAAATAAATCAAACAAACCCCTCTTCCCTCAAACAAAGCCCTAGCAACTGCACCTCACACCCAGCAGCACAGATTTCCTTTCAGGATGGAACCCACAGCACACACACCGGGCGAGGGACGGCAGGGCAGGATGGAGCCATTACCTTCATAGCACAGAATGCCAATATTGTTGTTCATCTTGTCCAAGTATTGGTAGTTCAACAGGTCCATCTTCATAAATAGCATTTATCGGGCTAGCAAAAGAAGACCAGCTCGTTTGCTTTCGCCCAGGTTGAGGGAGGAGGAAGCCAAGGCAACGGGTGCCCGAGTGTGCTCTCCGGATTCCCAAACTCCACCAGCACCAGGGCCTTCAGCTACTCAAACAAATCACTTCAGCTAACCCAAACCAAGGATGGCGAAGGGAAGTCGGAGGGAAGGAAGCCCGCACACTCTCCCTCCCAAACTCCTGGAAACTAAAGTTACACCGCGTCCCTCGGTGCGGAGAAGGCTGCTCTGAAACTTTTCAAGTCTTTTTCTGAATTTAAAAAAATAAAAATAATAAGAAAAAGAAAAGAAAAAAAAGAAGAAAAAAAGTCAGAAGACTGCAAGAAGGGAAATTTCCCAGGACAAAGGCCCGGCAGTGCTGCTCACAGCCCGCTGCAAGCTCCCTGCGCTGACATGCAGGCTATGCTTGGTATGACTCGTATGTAAACCAGCTTCCTGCAGGCAGTGAGCATGCTCGGTGGGGCCCTGGAGCTCCTCAAATGTCAGGGATGTTTTCTGCACAAGATCAGCCTCTAAAATGCACCCGAGTGTTTGAAAGGAAAAGAGGAGGCGGCGGTGGGGAGAGGCTGTGCAGAGGGGCCTGGGCCGGGGGCTGCCACGAACATGGGCCAAACCAGAGCACCTTTCTGGTCAGGCTGGTGAGCAAAGGAACTGAGCTATGTTTAAAATTAATCCTCTCTCTGACTTAATTTCCCAGCATGGCCTTAGGTGTATCCCAATCCCGTTGCAGTGAAAACTAATGCTGGTTTAGAGTCATGGAACGGTGGCTCAATGAAAGGGAATTGAAATGAAGAGCCGAGGTGCAGGGGCTCTAGCTGTGTGCACAGACAGGCACGGTGCCCTCACACAGCTCCAGTTCATCCAGCACACCATCCCGCTGGGTTTTTCCAGGGCAATTAGCAGTTACAGGGTTCTGGATTCCTACCAGCTGCTGAAGCTTCAGCGTAGGTGACACAAATGATGCAGCATTTTGACAGCAGCTGCTCTCATCTCAGGACGTGGTCTGCCCTTCTGCAGGCCCAGCCTTGATCACAAAGGCTCTGGCTGCTCATACAGCTGTGCATGACTTGCCAACCCAGGGCACAACATCTGGGCAGTGTAAGCACGTGCTTACCTCAGGGGCATCCCCTCTCTCTCTGCCTTCTTTGGCTTGGAACAGAACATCCCTGCCTGCCCGGGATGGAGAACTGTTGCAGCACACACCAGTGCACACAGTCCCGGAGAAGGGGTAAGAAACTTCCCTTTCCATTTTGAGAATTTCTCCCCTCTGTTAGAGACTGGGAAGGTATCACCTCAGAGAGGGAACTCACAGAGTGACTTTTTTTCAGGGCACTTTTCAAAGTACTGCTTGCATGCTCTTGATATTTCAGTGAGACAGGTCATTTACTCACAGTTACTAATAAATAGGAGTAAGACATTTAGCTGCCAGGCAGATTTCCTACAACCCAAATAAGGTTTCTCCTCACTCCTGATACAAAAAGTCATCCTGTGCATCAATGACTTACATGCTTCAAGGGAAGGAGAATGTCAGAATAACTGGTGAATTCAACACAGCAGGGAACAAATTACCTGAAATGAATTCTGTATTGCTGGGAAGATGAAGGTCAAGAAGCCTTTGATTGATTATTTATATGCAACAAGGGCACTCTCCTAATTAGAAACACTATTAACCTTTAAGACTTTAACACGGTGTAAAAACTCCTGGGTACTTCCTGCTG